GGTTCAGTCCGAGATGGGTGATATAAGAAAGACACTTGGGGACTTGACATCCGCAATGGACCAACTTTTGAGAAAACAGGGTGGAAATGTCAGCAACACACCTCAACGTGAGTCCAATGGAATGCTAAACCATGGGGGAATCACAGCGCTCCCGTCTACGGACACTCGTCCAGAAAGGCAGCCAGATGAGACAAGACCCAAAGAGGTGTCCGTAGCACCAACATCGTCTAGTTCAAATAATGGCGGAACAAATGGTTCACACACTAGGACGGTAACCATGGGGACTGGAAAAGAGTTTAGTATAGTTCGACTTAATAAATTGGGTCTTACGTTTGATGGAGGTTCCAACAGTTTAGGAGTTGAAGAGTTCGTTTACCGATTGGAATATTATCAGAAGCAATATAACATACCATGGTCGGAAGTCATAAGAGACTTTCCTCTTATATTGTCCGGTAGAGCGGAGTCTTGGTATTGGCTACTACAACAGACGCATGGAATCCATAGCTGGGACCATCTTAAATATAGTATTTTGAGCCAATACCAATCGTCTAAGTCAAATTTTGAAATCCTCACAGAACTTGCCCAAAGGAAACAGCAAATCAACGAATCGGTAGACAATTTTTTTCATGCAATGGGTCAAGTTCGAGCCAAATTGGTGCAACCTATCTCGGAATTTGACATGATGAAAATTCTGAAGAAAAACGTTAAAGACAGTATAGGAAGAATTGTATATCCGATTCAAGTGTCATCAGTTGAACAGCTAAGAGTGGAGTGTAATGAGGCCGAGAGGAACTTTTTAAGGCGGGAAAACCGACCTACATTACCAATGGCTCGGCAGCTAAAACACGTTAATGAGATCTCCGAAGATGTGGATGTTAGGTTTTCGGATGAACAAGAGGAGGGTGAATTGAAAGAATTGGCTGCTATGCAGTACAACAGGCAAGTAAAACCCCAACTAACCTGTTGGAATTGCAGGAAATTAGGACATTCTTTCCGCGATTGTGAGGAAGCGACTAGGGCATTATTCTGTTATAAGTGCGGCAACCCTGGAACTACAACCCCCAGATGTAAAATGTGCCAGCAGGGAAATGGGAACAAGGGCGGGGATCAGGAAGGGAGACCCCGTCCGAATTAGACATCCCTGTGGTAAAACGTTTCAGCCTAGAAAAAGTAAAAAGTAGCAGTAATATTATTCCGGGTATGAGACACTATTTATCGGTGAATGAGCGAAAAGAAAATTATGTCAAAGTGAGACAAAAGATATTTGGATGTCTAGAGACACAAAAGTCAGATAAAAAAATTCCGAAAGTACGGGAAAAATTTATTTCGAAACGAAAAAATTATCAAATTATTAGTGAAGCCATTAGCAGGGCTAGAACCCAACATGACCCCAGACCTTTTGCGGAAATCTATATAGAAGGTCATAAATTAAAGGGCCTGCTGGACACCGGTGCTTCAGTAAGCTTACTGGGAAAGGGCTGTAGGGAACTAATAGAAAGTTTAGACTGCGACTTAAAACCGATATTCTCTAATATAAAAACCGCCACAGGAAGTCAACACAGATTGATTGGAAAAATTACCCTGGATATAAGTTATAATAACGTTAAAAAAGAAATGGAATTTTACTTGTGTCCCGACCTGGAGCAGGAATTGTATTTAGGGGTAGATTTTTGGAGATTGTATAATTTAGCCCCCCAAGTAATACCAGTGGAGGAGATGAAAATAGAACAGTTCCAAAAAGATATCGACGGAGATATTTATAAATTAAACCCTCACGAATTGTCCAAAGAACAACAAGAACAGTTGGACAAGGTAATCAGGGGATCCGATACCTTTGAGGAAAGAAGGCTTGGTAAGACTAGCCTGGAGAAGCATTCGATAAAGCTCGTCGAGGGTGCTGAACCGGTCAAAGACAGGTATTATCCGATCTCTCCGGCGGTACAGGCCATTGTCTATCAGGAAGTAGACAATATGCTACGTCTAAATGTGATAGAGGAAAGCAATAGTCCATGGAGTAATAGGACCACAGTCGTGAGGAAACCCGGAAAGAACAGGTTCTGCTTGGATGCCCGTAAATTGAATAAACTAACAGTAAAGGATGCATACCCGCTCCAGAACATAGACGGCATTCTGAGTAGAATCGATGAAACCCATTATATAAGCAGTGTCGATTTGAAATACGCCTTCTGGCAAATCGAACTAGATGACACGAGTAAAACCTACACAGCGTTTACAGTCCCAGGTCGCCCTTTATACCAATTTAGGGTAATGCCTTTCGGGCTTTGCAATGCGGCTCAACGCTTGTGTAGGCTTATGGATAAAGTTATACCATCACATCTAAAAGAAAATGTGTTCATTTATCTAGATGATCTGCTTATAATATCAGGGGAGTTTGAAGATCATTTGAAATTACTAAAAGAGGTTGCAGAATGTCTCAAGAGGGCGAATCTGACGATTGGGTTAAACAAGTCCCAGTTCTGTTTCAGGGAACTTAGATACCTGGGTTTCATTGTAGGAGATGGAAAATTGAAAACCGACCCCGACAAAGTAAAGGCTATAAAAAACATTAAGGTTCCGAAAAGTGCCAGAGAAGTAAGAAGTTTCTTGGGGACCGCTGGTTGGTATAGACGTTTCATTAGAAACTTTGCCACAATTTCCGATCCCCTCACAGACACTTTGAAAAAGGGTAAGAAATTTGAGATGAATGATGCTGCGGTGCAGGCTTTTGAAAACCTTAAAAAAGCCTTAACATCCGCCCCGGTCCTTCGACATGCTAATTTTGATAGGCATTTCTACATTCAATGTGATGCGTCCGAATATGGCATAGGGGCGGTGTTATATCAAATAATTATAGGAATGAAGAACATCCAATAGCTTTTTATTCCCAAAAGTTAAATGCCTGTCAACGCAATTATAGCGTGACAGAGAAGGAGTGTCTGGCGGCAGTTATGGCGATTAAAAAGTTCCGACCATATGTCGAGCTAATGCCATTTACCGTAATAACTGACCATGCCTCACTAAAATGGCTGATGGGCTTGAAAGACTTGACTGGAAGGTTAGCTAGGTGGTCGTTACAATTACAAGCCTTCGATTTTAACATAGAACATCGAAAAGGAACTGAGAACCTGGTTGCCGATATGCTCTCCAGAGCACCAACGCTCGATGTTAATGAGATTACTCCTGAAGAAATGTTAAACTTTGAGACTACGGAGTTCGAAAGTGAAGAGTACAGGGAATTAATCAAAAATATAGATGAAAATAAAAACAAGTTACCCGATCTGAAAATAGAAAATGGGTACGTGTATAAGAAAGTATTTCCGGGTCAAGATGAGAATGAGGAAGTCCGATGGAAGCTATGGATTCCCTCAGGCCTTACTCATGAAATAATCAAAAATGCTCATGACATAACTACGGCGGCACATGGGGGTATGGTAAAAACTCTAGAACGAGTTCGAAGATTTTACTATTGGCCCCGAATGACCGTGCAAGTGAAGCAATATGTAATAAATTGCCAATTATGCAAAGAATCAAAACCTAGTAACCAACACATGATGCCGAGTATGAGAAAGGAGGTGATCACTGATAGACCTTTTCAAAAACTATATGTGGACTTCCTCGGGAAGTATCCTAGGTCGAAAAGAGGGAATGCTTATATATTTATCGTTGTGGATCACTTCACCAAATTTATATTTCTTAAAGCCATGCAAGAGGCCACTGCAAGAAATGTAGCAAAATTCCTCGTCGAGGAAATTTTTCACAAATTCGGCGTACCTGAGGTCATCCACAGCGATAATGGGGCGCAGTTTGCATCCCAGACCTTTAAGGACCTAATCGAAGGTTATCAAATCAGCCACATAGAAACAGCAGTGTATTCACCCCAATCCAACGCTTCCGAACGTGTCAACCAATCGGTAATAAATGCCATTAGGACTTACCTTGATAAGGATCATAGGGATCGGGACATGTATTTGACAGAAATAGAGTGTGCCCTCAGAAATTCGATACATTCCTCAACAGGTGTAACTCCCTATTTCGCACTTTTTGGTTTTCATCTGTTTTCCAGTGGGAAAGACTACAAGTTAGCCCGAAAATTGATGTCACTGACTGATCATGAACTAAAGGCAATGAATAGACCGGGAAAACTCGAAATTTTAAGGGAAACAATTAAGGAAAATTTACACAATGCATTTGAGAAGAGTTCGGAAAGATACAACAAAAGAGCGCGAGTGATAAAGTTTCGACCAGGACAGGAAGTGTACCGAAGAAACAATGTATTGTCGGATTTTTCAAAAAACATAAATGCAAAATTCTGTAAAAAGTTCATAAAATGTCGGATCGTCAAGCCCGTAGGTCAAAACATGTACGAATTGGAGGATTTGCAAGGGAAAAGTATTGGAGTTTATCACGTAAAGGACATAAAATATTAATGCAATATGGACAATTCTGTGATATGATAAGTGCAATATTAGAAGTAAGAATAGGCTTAATATATGTTGTACTTGTCCATATCCATAAATATGTATCTATATGCAGTATTATTTTATACCTGTGATACATTACCGATGAAGTTCCTGGGTGTAACATGTATATTTTTTGTCCCTGTATAATAGGTTATCCCCCTGTGTGTGGATAAATTTGTATACCTTAATCTAGCTAAGTGATGATCTCAACGACTTACCTGGGACCAAAACTTCTTCCTATCTCACAGATGTTGCACAAAAATCCCAACAGAAGTCCTGAAATGAATTCCAAAAAGTAAAATTCTAATAGTGAGAGATTGAAACATGTATACTTCCCTAATGTCTAGTAAAGCTGTAGAGCCCGGCTAGAAACTCAGGGCGTGAGAGTTGCCCACGTTGGAATTACGGATCTACATCATAACATAGCTTTATCCGCACACCAGTCCTGTCTTTATTCAACGCCAGCCCTGGAGTTTTGTTGCGGAACCACAAAATTCTAAGTCCCAAGCAAAAAAAAAAAATTTTGCGTGGAGGGTACTTAGGAGAGGCATATGTTTGCATCGTGGAAGCCTCTAACCACCTTAAAATTTAGCCCAGTTTTAGTTTTTTTTTTGGGTGTTGTGTGTATATTCATGAAAAAGGCACTTGCTGAGGGTAACCTTCAAATGACGACAATGGTTAGCCATGCCTGTAAAACAGACACTTGATGCGGGTAACCTTTAATTGTGGTCAGGGTTAGCCATGCCATTAATTTAGTAAAGGAAATGCTGACCATTTAATGGGAGGATTCTGCAGGGGGATACTTTAAAAAAAACCCAGCACTTTATTCACGCGTTGCGATGTAGAAGCCATCAACCTCTGTCGGCAGAACAATTTACGTTCCTAAAGAAATGAAGAATTGATCTACCAAAAGTTTGTGGGGCTTCCTTCACACAGCAACATGCGGCAAAACCTGAAACGAAAAGAAAAATATATATTAGTAAAAATAGAGATAATATTTGTTTGGACGTAATAGAAGAATGCCGCAGCAGCTCGGTTATGAAAATGCCTTTTGTTCTTTGTTTACATTCTTATATTCGTCATTTGACAGCAGACTATCGCGTTGCCAACGAAATGTTTTGATAGCAATGTATTATCAGCACAATGGCGGAATATGCATTCTTGGGGGAGACCAAATAATTGAAGGCTTTCTGAATAAAGAGAAAAACCTATGCATAAGGGTACCGCCCAGTGAAAGGGACAAATAATAGGGATAAAACAAGGATAACAATAAGGGATAAATCAATATGTCGGTTAATGGAAAGCTGCCATTTTTCTCTCTAAGCTTATAAATAAGTGTTAAAACCAGAGAACGGTGATTTTAAGTATTGGTGCTGAGTGAGAAACTTTAACTTCTCTGTGGGAATAAAGTACAAAGTTTTTGTAAAAATTATAAAGTGAATTTAAATATAATAAAAGCGATATCTGCCGAATATTGATTTGATTAAGATAAAGGTAAAACAAGAAAACAGTGTCTTACGAACGAAGAAGTTGATTTTTTTTATCGTGTAAAATAGGTGACTATCGCAGGGTGTTGTTATGAATAAAGTGGTCAAAGTCCAATTTTATCCTCAGACGCAGTATTGAACCAGCAATCAAGAAAGGTAATGTGCAGGTTTCGGCCTTTAATAAGTATAGAGTAATGGTAAGACATGGTTTGTTTCCTTTAGGCCACCAGAAACCTTGTTTGTTGGACGGAAGTGTCGTAGAGGAAATATAGCCACTAAAATAGATTACCCAAGTAGAAAGCCGGAAAAAAGGTAGGACATTAGTATTGCCAATTACCTTAGGGCGCAGAGCCCACTGCCATCTAGTGGAAACACCCGAGCTGACAAAAACTTTGCAAAAGCTCAGTACCAGAACTTTACCAGAGAATATATAACTTTGTGCCCGAGCGAATTTACGTATAACAGTTATAATTCGCCGAAGTATCTCTGCCACAGTCAGTCCCGTATAAAAAGACTGGCATTTGGTTATGTGACGACTGATTGAGATCAAAATAATCATAACCAGTTAAAATCGTCAAAGAAAATAATTGTCATAAAGTATCTTTAGTTTCTAAGTGTATAACGTATTGTATGATTTATTTATATTTTGCTTTGCATGTTATTTTTGATTTTTTTTTATCCAAATTGACTATTTTTATTTGAGTGTAAATGATAACGTTTCCTTTTTCCTTTTCGGATATACTTTTTTGGAAATACCTAAAATTCCCTCGTCTAGTTTACGTCGTATTTGTTTCACATTAGGAACCACAATTGTGCATCTGGTGATATAGTTGATCCTAAGCCATAGGTTGTCTATAATAGAGCTCTATTAGGAAATCTAGGTTATTGGAGTTTATTGAGCATAGTCCACTGATAAGGACGTAGTTTTGCAAAATATTGTGGGTTCTAATAGACCAGTCGGTCAATCGTTCTGTTTATCAAGATTTGTTTTATTTGGTTCAAAGAACCTTTCGACATTCCTCTGGTCATAGAGAAGATACTATAAAAAAGAAGAACATCAAACTATATTTTATTAATTTTTTTTTGTTCTATATTTTATTGTGTCTCAGTTTTTTTTTTATTAATTTTAAACAGTAATAATTAAGGAAAAAGGATACCTAATCATAAAATTAAATCAACATTTTTTTTAATAAATATAATGTGAATCTGTAGACAATTAGAAATATGATAGTTTAACTGAAAAGGAAAGGAGGGAAAGGATGATGAGGTGAGTGGTGGTACTTCCAGCGGTAATAGGGGTCATCAAGGCAAGATCGGTAGGATGACTATGGTCGGGTGGGCGGATAAGTTTGACTCTGAACCCGGAGTCCGGAGTTTTGATGGGAGAAGTTAAAGTAAATTATCGATAGGAATAGACCAAATCGATTGTGTACGTTCCTGGGCTAGAGATGTCGGGATGGAACCTGCCCCAAGAGAGTCGGCAGAGTTAGTCGGCGATATAGAGGCATCGTTCTGGCTCCGCTTAAAAGGACACGTAACAAGATTCAGACGAATAATATTTTAACAAGATAAGTTTGCAATATAAAATACACAACAATAGACCATTTTTGAGATTTTAAACTTATTTCAACTTCATCAGTTTTCGGCAGGGCTTCACCATTGAATGAAGAAACCTTTGACTTCGTTGGTGGGATTGCTGCTGATTTTGCTGTCTGTCCTCTTTTATTGCAGTTATAACAAATGCTGTTCTCGACTGGACAATTAGTCTTATGTGGGCTTTCCCACATTTGCGACAAAATTTTTTCTTTAATAAGTGTACACTCACAACGCATATGTTGTTTTTTTGTGACAGTTGCGATGCATTCACTGCTTCTTGCAATATCAATAGCCTTTTCAAGTGATAGTTCACCTTCGCTCAATAGTCGTTCTTTTATATGTTGAAAACTAACGGACATTCAACAAATAAATATACCGTTAAACAAACTGTCTCTCAAACTTCCAAATTCACATGATAACAGCGTGTGATGCCGTTTGTTGCATGTAGTGCAATTGTGAATGTTGTTGCATTTAGAAGCTTCATTCCGTGAGATAAACTATTCAAGCAACAGAAGTGTTTCTTACTGTGCTGATTCTTTCAGTAACTGAATTTATGACAAACTCTTAGATGATACATTTGCCGTGAACCAAGCGCACATGATTTAGGCGAGGATGTACGAAGTAACCTTGAGAAATAAGGGGCACTTCGGGCCGTGACAGAATATGATGTATTCGTTGCACCATTCGTAGAAAGGGGACGTTTATCATTGTTTAGAGAATCGATGCCACGCAAGCAGGCCAGAGTTGGGATCCTTTCTGTAAGAAAATGATCCAAATCTTTTCACAAAGACAAAGTAGATTTGTTTTTTATGCTTTGTGTCCAAAGCACCACGCAGTTCTTAGGTAACCTTTGAAGACCCGGGAAAACTAGAATAGGATCCCAGCCTTCAGTCGAAACATCATAATTTGACATGGACGCAAAACACCCGTTTATTCCTCTTTGTAATTTCTTTAACCCTGCATTAGTTTTTTTTTGTCTAAAACTCAAAAGTCAAAGAGGAGCTTAAGTAGGTGGTTCACCAAAATTTGAGGATTGTCTTATGTTGATAACAGTGCACTCCCTGCTAGGTTAAAGTTTTTGTGGGTAACCGTAAACTTGGACACAATTTCGTGGGCATCGCAACTTGTTTTATTATTCAAATGGCATGAAAGCTCTATATCGGTTATGCCGCTGTTGTTTATATAAATGGCAGAAAAATAAGTCCCTGAACGTAGGCCAGGAAAGAAAATCGTCATTGAACACTTCGATGTCACAGGGTGGCAAATTTAACCTGTGACCAGAATTTTCATTTCCACATGATGTGAATGATGAATTGTTGGATGTTTCGGATCGATGCAAAAAATTCGATACGGGGGTTATCGAAACGGGGTTATCTATATGAGATTTAGGTGAAGTTAATGCATCAGGAGACTTTGGCAGAGCCCGTAGTGCACCTAGCTTTCTGTCTATAAACGCTAGAACATTAAAAAACATTTGTAGGCGACATCGTATTTGATGTCGGCGGCTGAAATGTCGTCCTAATTAGAATTTTTATCATCACGGAATTTAACTTTATCTCATAGAGTTCTGACCTCAGCTCCTTGTAATTGTAGGATGTAAACATCAAGATCTTCGTCCCGTTGGGAACTGAAATTGGTATCAAATTTTACCAAAGCATTAGTAGCTCGGATGAATAAATCCAAAGAAGTGAGTGGCATTTTAAATGCGAATCAGAAGCAGAACAAGTGAACAATGTTTATTTGGACACGTAATGTCTTGTTTGAAAAACAAATGCAGCTGTAGAATTCAGAACTGCAGCGAAAATACAAAAAACTTGTTCTTTAATTTGCACGAAAATGCGTAAAATACTTCAATACGACAGGTAATGTCAAGAAAATCAATATTTATTTAATGAAAATACACTGATTGTAAATAATCGTGTAGTACTCGCAGTATCAATTGAGGTTTGACGTGATTAAACCATAAGAAATAAAATATAAATGAAGAAATTGTTCAACATTTTCTCTCAGTTGGTTTAACAATTTCAAAAATTATGTATAATGTATCGTAAAATATACGTAATTTGTGGCAATTATCATAAATGCCGCTTGCCGACAAAATTTTTCAAACAAAAAAGGTTAGGAATCGAAAAACACAAAAATAAATAGAAATCACTAAAAGCCGATCGTAGATTGCTTGAAATATATGGTGCACTCACTGTAACAAATGTTAAACATAAAACAATTTTCTCGAAATAACTCGCAGTAAAAAATAGTAATGTTTGTATTAAACGTTATTTAATAATATATTACTATGCATATATATTTAAGTATATATACCGAAAGTAGGGTGTATTGTATCGGAGACACAAGCTATATTTGTTATTGGTTGATGTTCGAAGAAATAGACACAAAATTTAATTAAAAATTACACTTTCAATTTGTCAACAAATAAAATGTAGATAAATTATCGTGAACCCACCTACTGTATGCGATTAGCTATTGTTTATCAGTAAGTGTCACTATTGTAATTTACACGAATATGTAAACAAAGAGGAACCGACAGTCAGCAGTGATGACAAAAAATATTCTTTTATATTGTTGTGTTTTACTAACTTACAAGAATATGAAAACACAACAATAACGTACGTTAAAAGCAGTAGTGTAAACAATATAAAAAATGTGCAGTCGAACATCAACTTCTGTTGACTTTAGACTTTTTCGCTCTCATCGCTTTGCTGTTTTATTTTGAACAACAACAAAAAATCCAAAAAAAAAATTCGCCAAAAACAAACAAACATAAGTGGCTTTTTAATTTTTTATTTCTGAAGTTTTTTGAAGTAAAGATTTAAAAGAATATATAAACTAAATTAAATATGGCGGGAGTTGGAGAACCTCCTCCTCCACATACGACACCTCCTCCTTTGGGGTAACAAAATAAAAGATAAGCCAGTAGAATTGCAAATGAAACAAAAGTATTAAAAAAGAATAATGTAATGGAAACACGGATGAATACAATTACAATTTGCAAAATAAAGATTCCATTTTGTATCTACCGTATCATCCTGGTACTTTCTTTGTATTAGTTTCTTCAGAAACCCGTATCAGCACAAGAAAGAAAATTTGCGAACTACACCTCTTTGTCAAACTTCAGAAAATAAACATCACAGATTATGCCTGCAATAATGTTGGAAACATCCCCTTCAGGTTAACCTTTAATAACGCAGTCTCAGCAAACTCCTCTGCCCAAAATGTAAATTTAAAACAAATAGACCTCAAAGCCTTCATTCCAGAAAAATTAGTGCAACGTTTCTACATCATTAAAAACGTAGCAAAAAGTATTACCGTTATTACGATAAAGCAACAAATTGAAGCCAACAACGACGTAGTGTCAGTTTATCGGTTCTCAAGAAAAACCAAAAACAATACTTTTGAATACACTGAAACCATTAAAATTTGTATCATATACGATGGCTTACCCACTGAAACCACACTAACTCCAGAACTGTGTGTGCCTCTATTAGCCTCTATTTGAATTGTGCCATTTCGTTGCAGGTCAAGGAAAAAATGTCTAAATTGCGGTACAGGGAACAAAAATGTCAGGATTGTCGGTCAACTACTACTTGCAAAGATATATGCAGCTCGCTGCGTTGTATTCTTTGCAGCAGTATTGATCACTTTGCAACGGACTGATAACAATGCCCAAAGTAGAAATCGGAGAGAAACATACGCAGTATAATGGCCCCTTCCAATCTGTCAAGAAAGGAAGTAGTTTAAAAGTATCCGGAAACACAAAATCGTTTTCAAATATTATCAGAAGATAAATATAATACTACATTTCCGCCTTTAATAAAAAACAGTGTTCAAAAAAGAAGTACTCATGATGTAATAAACAGAAGAGTTACATGACCAAAATACAGCGAAATCGCTTCACCTCGAAACCAAACCCGTCACGTCGTGGCCGATCCAGATAACGCCATCCAAATTTTTAACCAAGAAAGTTTCTCTAAAGTAACTGAATTAGACAAAAACTCTTTCAATCTTTGCAAAAGAAATGTCCCATTTGCAGCAAGAAAATCATTTATAAATAAATAACACACCACCATAATTATCACTTTTTTATTTTTTTGATACATTTTTGTAATCTTGAAGGAATGATACATTTTTACTTTCATCAATATTAAATATTTCACTAAGGAAGCCTATAAAACTCGAGTAAGAATTTATCATCCTTTCAAGACTCTTTAAAAGAAACATTGTTTTCAAAAAGGTCTTATTTGAAAGCCCTCTGAACATACTCATATCTCACACTACTAATATAATAAAAAATTGTACTTAAGTTTCAGTTTATTCCCCTTATTCGGCTTAATGCGTCACAATAATAAAACGGGCTTATCAAATTAATATCTCTAGTTAAAAATCAACCAAACACTCTTACTTGACTTTAATGCGAGACATTCTGCATATGGTGATATATTTGTCTCATAACGTGGAAATACTATAAAAGAAATTTTTGACTTTCGATGTTAAAATGATGGTACATTTAAAAAAGCTGTTACTGACTTAAGAGGATCCGTTTTGAACCTATCCTTTACAAATTCTAATTTACCCATACAATGGAAAACCATCAATTCTATGATTGGTAGAAATAAGAAGGTAAAGTCATGTAATCATAGGTTTACATTTTTTTTTTTCAAATTTATATATTTGACAGCATCTCATTGTCGAGATCTATATTCATAAATCTATTGTATGTGCATACAAAATCAGAGAAGGGAACTGTTTTTTATGCATTAAAATTTGACAAGATAAATTACAGAAAAT